GTACATAAAAGCACTCTTCATATACAAACACGTATCTACAATTGTTGATAATTCTCTGGACAAACTTTCCTTTGAACACACCCATGGAATATTACTACCAACACAAATAAACCTGATAAAAATAGCTTTATCTCCTGCAACGTTTCCCATCATATCATGGCCTTGGACAGTGAAGCATCAAAGTAAGAAGTCAACAACTTTCAACAGATAATCAGTTATTTAGTTATATTTATTAATTAAAAATAATTTGTTCACACCGCTGCAAAGAAAACCGATGTCTTGCCTTTAAAAGTGCAGTCATTACAAAATAAGAATTTCATGACAATTGACAAGTGGCACAAGACGTTTTCAAAGTAAACCCAGATCAAAATAAGGTCTTAAATTTAGTACATACGTAAAATAATGGGAATTGATTTACCACGAGTCTCAGAGAAATTTTCTGGAAATTATCATTCATACTGGATCTCATAAATGAAGTCGGAAAGATGAAAGGGAGACAACAAAAATGCTGATTTTCATTAGGTTAAATGTGACAACAAATTTAACAAATCTGCAATACTCAACCCACAGAATGCCTGTGATAAAAGTCAGAATGAAACCATCTTTCACAGATGATAAGACTTGTTGACAACTAAATTATGATGATACAGATGAAGATTAGCTGGGAACACACAAACAAGCCTTGATGGCCTAACCCTATAAAGCTGATGATGCTAAAGATAATGATAAGTCGGACTGAAAATGAAGTTACTACCACAAATATTTACCATGAGAAACAGGAAAACTGATATGTTTCCAAAATGTAATTACATTTCTAACTTTTTTACATATATTGGCAGTACTATTATATTTGTAAGCGCACACACCTAACAGGTGCCAATAAATAAAACACAATTTGTGACTTCTTTTTGGTCTGAGCTCCACTTAAAAGTTAAGTGTATTTACAGATATTTCCATATTTTACTGAAACAATGAAATAATAAAGAACAATTCTATTACATCATGCATGAATATAAATATTCAAGAAAGCATAATCATAGATGCCCTTCAATACACAATGTAACACTGCTAAAAATATATCAGCAAGGCAACAGAACTCTTGTCAAAACAGATTAATTCCATGGTACAGGACTGCCTCTGAGCACTTTATAGTTATTCTGCTAACTCTGAAATTTTCCATTAAGGATCCTGGCGNACTACCCTAGAACCCCTCTTCCCAATGAGGTGCCTGCTGTTAATACCAAGAGTGACTTAAAACCAGTATAAATGTAATATTTAACTAGGGGAATGGCCTAAAGTTGCAGGACACTTTCAGTAGTGAAATATACAGACTCCGTCACTCATACTGAATATTCCAACAGACAGGTGAAGGGGTAAGGAAAAATTATGTCAGGGCTAGAGTAAGTGAAAGTAATTCCCAAGCAGAGAACAATGACTTCAAGCGGCAAAAATAATCCACCATTTTATGTCTTAGTATTTAAAATTTTTTAAATGTCAGAACTAGTATACCAGCAAGCGACAACGGTCATGACACCCCCTCCACATGTGACTCAGAACAGGATATAACTCCAAAGCAAAATGAGCCAATGTGTGAGGCCTAGTACTTCAACAGGTACCTGAATTCTGTTAATCAAAACACACACATAAATTCTTGTTCATGTGAGTTTCAGTTACTGACAATACCAAGAATGACCCTCCATTCATGTCATCTGCCATTTTGCAGTGCTACATGCAAATACTCCAGGGCACGCAGTAGCATAATTGTCTGAGGCACTATGCTACAAGCCAGAAGGTCACAGGTTTGAGTCCCAATGAGGTCAATTTCTTTCAATTTGCCTATTCCTCCCAGCCACACTATGGCCCTGGGGTCGACTCAGCCTCTAACAGATATGGGTACCATGAATCTCCCTGGGGGGGTAAAGGGCAGCCCGCATGTAAGGCTGACAACCTTACCGCCATCTGTGAGCCGACTGTCTAGATCATGTGGAATCCTCAACATCTCACAATCCTATGGGCCTCCATGGCCTGTTACAGGGATAGCTTTACCTTTATATGCAAATACTCCAGGTATAGTATGACTGTCATAGGAGTAAACATACGTGAATCATTCACAGTAATTAGAGCAACTATTTTATCTTAGGCACGAATTCAAGAAAAATTTCATATTAATTTACATGACTATAAACCATGACATTACTCTGAGACTGGCTTCATAAAACTGTCTTAACAAGGGACAGAAAATGCTCTGGAGTTCACATGCCCAAACATGTAAAAATGTAATACCAGCATTTAAAATATTAACTGCACGTGACAAATTTCAACCATACTCTTCTGATACTAAATATTTAACACGAACTCAAGATGTACTCATACTACAAAATACTACATATAATTCAGTTTAACATATAAATACATGTGCCAGATTAATACCAAAACCAACTTGAAATGTTATATTAGTTCATATGTTGTACATCCATTAAAAACATATTTCAAGAAGTGATTTCAGCCCTTGACACCAGAAATTATACTTCTTTCAAGTCTGATATGCAGTTTGAGACAACTCCGTGTGGAATGGAACAATTCTTCCTCCTGGTGAATGTACTTCCCTGAACCCTGAAGCAACTTAATCAACCATGGTGAGTTCACAAGATGAGAACCAATCAGCTTGCAGTATATTTCCAATTGAATTTCATGCTAATCACTCTGTAGTTGGCCTTTACAGAAATTTTGGATATCTCTTAAAATACTGACAAATTTATCTATCAGTGATCTTAAGTAATGAAGGGCAAATCACAGACCAAAATTCTTCTCACTTATGCCAAAGTTAAATACATACTGTGCATTCAGCATCAGTGGTGGAGGGACAGTGATGGCTTACCTAAGACTGGACAGCTTGTATTTCAATTTCCAAAACAGCTGTACCAGCTGGGGCAATTTCAGCCTTCTAACCAAAAGACTGTTAAACTCTTTCTTCATATTTCAACACATAAATATAAATGTGACCACAAAATCAACACATTCCTGTGATTAGGCAGTGTAATAATAATAATAAAAATAATAATAATTTGTAATTACGTCTTTCCTATGTACCAACTGTACCCTTTCAGCATTACTGAGGTAGGAACACAATCAAAGGTCATTTACTTTTATTCCTAAAATCCTGACCTAATTACCGTTCAATTAAGAGATATTTTATAGCAAAAGTTTACCTTGAAACTAATCAACATATCAGACTGTAGCCATTATGCTTGGCATATATGAACATTAGCAGTTCAACAGCATCCATATTATATGTTATAAACTATATAACATCCTAAGTTCGCAGGAAGCAAAGCAGCACAAACGTCTCCACTGAGTCACCATAATTCCTGCTTTGTATTTTGGATGTCTGGGTTCAAATCTCATCCAGAAGGCTAACGTTGAGGTTTTATATGGTTTTCCTCAGTCCTTCCAGATAAAATTCTAGGATAGTATGGCATCAAATACAAGAACACAATGTTTCCTTCCACATTCTTTTCAGTTCATTACTTGCCCCATCATTCAACATTATACAACCTGAGTCACTGAAAGCACTGTTAAATAAATGAACAATATATACCCATACCAGCTGTCAGTAGTACAAATTTTGAACATAAATGTCTATAAGAGGCATGTTGGCTTTCCATATTCTGGTGATTTTACAGAAACAGTCTGCATACAGATGTGAACATTAAGGACATGATCCTGGACATGTAAAGTACTCATATTTACCACAGTGTAAATTCTATATGTTAATATAACATTTTCCCTTCGCCATTCAGCCACACAGAAATTATTTCCTTCATGCAGATTTCTTGCCCACCCTGAATGTGACAAAAGAAAACATACAAAAGCTGTAAGATTTGAAGTTCCCATGGCAGTGATGATGAGTACTATCTTCTTGGATGTGACACCATGTAGAAGCTTACTGATACTAATGGGGAATTTGCTACTTCCATATTCCGTCAAACTCTTCCTACACTGAAGATGGAGGCGAGAGAGTACCCCCAAAAAAGATCAAGTGTTAATTAGAGTTAGTGAGCAGAGGAATATCCTACATGAAATAAGGAAACGGAAGGCTAATTGGATTGGTCATGTTTTACGCAGAAACTGCCTTCTAAAAGAAGCTATCGAAGGAAAGATAGATGGGCGGATAGAAGTGACAAGAAGACGAGGAAGAAGACGTAAGAAGATGCTGGATGACCTTGGGGACAGAAGAGGATACTGTCATTTGAAGGAGAAAGCTCTAGATCGCATTAAGTGGAGGAATTGTTTTGAAAGAGACTGTGGACCTGTCGTCTTGACAGATTACTGATGATGATGACCAAACTACATGGCATCACATTCCAAAATATTAGGCATACCGATACCAGTCTTCTGCCTGAAAATGGTGGCAAATTCCTTAAAAACCTTGGTACCTACCTACCTACCTACCTGCACGTCAACTCATCATACAAGACAAGAATGTTCTACTTAGTCTTACACAATGAATTAAGACAAGCTATAATGTACTGAAAACATATTTCAGTTTGACACATACATATTTAAAACATGACTCATTTCTGGTCATTAGAAAGTAAATGCATTTACCTGACTATAAACTACCAAACTTCTGATTTTACCCACCTTAAGGGGTGGGGAGGTTTAAGCGGTATAGTTTTGAAAAATATAGTATGTAAAAAAAATTAAACTCGCATCACAACGCCAGTTTATTTTAAAATTGATATAACTTAAGTATGTTTCTGGCGGCGCATTTCCATTTCAAAGTATTTGCTAGAAGCTGTACAACCTAACTGTTCTAAATGAAACTTCACTTTGCCTTCGGTCACTATGATGTTCCTTCTAAAATGCTGCTACACACACATACCAAGATCATAAAACATTGATTTCACGTGCCGTAACCCAGCTTACATCTGCACGTTCTGGTCATTCATCTTCCGCATACTTATTACGCCACAATAGCGTAACGCAATTACACCTACCTTTCTTCGGCAGGCCCCTAACAAATCCATTTCGTGGTCTTCGGCTGTTCTTTAGCAGCCTAGTGCCCTGCACTACCGTAATACCATTCGTAACACCTTCCTTACTTAACTGCTTAATCAGTCTCCTAGCTTTCCGTTTAATTCTATGTTCAACAGATACACTGTCCGCACTATTTACGCCTTCGACACCGGCAGTTCCAGAAACTCCATCCGCGACGCCATTTTGGTCTTCAACTGGTACGATTTCGGTTTCCTGGCCATTCAAAACCTCTTGCTCCATCATTTTGAAGGTACGTCAGTCTAAAATTTCAGTCAATCAGGTACACAAAAATGCTGCTGAAATACAGCCACAATCTACACAAAATTGCCTACCGGCAAAAAAAAAATCCCGAACGCCCTACCGTCAAAAACAACCTTTTCCTTCAACGTCATCCAACTCTCTGCTTGTTTGTTTAGGTTTAGAGGCAGAACACGTGATAGCCACGCATGCGCACTACTGCTGTACCCTCAGCTTGTAAACAATTCCACAGTCGGTTCACACGGAGGCGCGGCACGGGGATTCGCAGTGTTTACGATTGGTGTTCTTCCGGGCTGTACAATCCGTAGAATCGTAACAATAGTGCCATATGCGAAAAATATTTGTTTCTTGAAAGTATAAAGTATTAATATGTAATTAAACCCACGTTATGCGAGAATATTCTGTCTCTCAAAACTGACATCCATCCTGCCTTAATTGCTATTGTATTTAAAACAATGGTTAATTGCAGTCTATTTGAAATAAAGTTAAAAGGTAAAGCTGTCCCTGTGTTTAACCAAGTAAGCACTATGCCATGACGTATAGATCCACATATTCTTGACCATGGCACTAGTTGGAGATGACTGGTCAGCTTCATGCCACGACCGATTTACCCCAGGTAAAAAGCCACCAGAACCCATTTGATAGGAGGGTGGGGTGGTCCTAGAAGTGGGCAGTATAAAAATTTTACCCCTACAGGGAATCAGACTCTGACCTCTCAGCCATCCAGCCCATTGCCAGTCACAATATCGACCACACTGTCACAGCTCTCCAAAACTAAATCTTCAGACTTTTAAAGAGAACGTTTTAGGAAAACATTTTATTTAAAATTTGGAACACCCAAGAAAATATAGTAGTCCCCCACCCCCATCAAAATTAATGTTAAATTGCATTTCCCAGTGATAGGTGCATCCAGACTTTATTTGTTCAGTAAAATTGCATATTCTGTGGGATCTCAACCTGCTGCAACATTTTCATTTTTAATTTAATCAGTGAAATATCTTGACCATTGCATTCTTCAGTTCTATATTAACATAACTGTACCAATACAGTATACATGCCATGGAATTTTATTCTTATAAATCAGGTACACATCTCTGTATTTTTAATTATTATCCATTGTGTAGGTAAAAATACAGGCTATGAATTTAATTTCTATGCACTCTACCAATCTACTCTCTCTCTCTGGCTATGAAATGTTGCTCAAAATTTTAACTTTATTGTTTTTAAAATGCTTCAATCAGACTTTTAGTTTTTGAGAAAATACAGCATATGTTTGTGGGCTGTATATGCTTGGTGCTTTCACACTGCAACAGGGACATTCCTTTCAGTTGCAACAAAACTTTTTATTTGCAGAGCAAAGCTGACAATGCAACATTAAGCACAGAACTGCGCATGTGGTAGCATAGTTGATTGAGGGGCTATGCTACAAGCCGGTAGGTCGCAAGTTCAAGTCCTGATGAGGTCACTGGATTTTTTTCAATTGACCTAATCCTTTCAGCCACACTATGGCCCTGGGGTCAAATCAGCCTCTTAACAGAAATGAGTACCAGGAATTAATTAAATAATTTTCCTGGGAAGTATAGCGCGGCCAGCGCGTAACCTTACCGTCATTTTTGAGCCGATTGTCTAAATAATGTGGGACTCTCAACATCTCACAACCCTATGGGCCTTCACGGCCTGTTACAGGGATAGCTTTACTTTTTTTACTTTACTGCACAGTACAGGAAGTGAACTCCTTCTGTGGCCTTGGATCATATAATTTTGTGGCAGTTACTATAAATATTATAAATATTTGTACAGCCTTTAAACTTAGTCAAGTGTGGAAACTTATTTAGGTCAAGAGACAGATCATCCTTCAAAAAGATAATTAACACATAACTTTTTTTTTTTTTAATTTTCCTTGGCACTACAGCCCCAGTGGGCCTAGGCCTACCTCCATGAACTTCTCCGTAACATGATATTAGCATGTTATAATTTAAGAACAAACTTTTTAGATGGGATAAATTGATAAGAGCACAACTGTAATTTTGTGCCAAGGCAAAAATGAAGAACTTAATATAACCTGTGTTGTAGATTATTTCCTAAAGAAGTGAGGGGTGGCCATGAAGCCTTCTACCAGTGGCTGCCAAAGATAATATAACAATACTTATTGTATGTATAAATTGATAAGAAAAGGCCACATTAAATTACAAACATAATTAAAAGGTATATTATATTTATGATTAAGGTTCATTAGTAATACAATGTTCTAAATTTCTAAATCCCATTTTGTGTTTGCTGTTTAGACGGGGGGGGGAGTGCCCAAAACTACGAGTTTGGAAGTCACTGTTGTAAATGGTTACGTTTACAATGAAGAATAAACGTAGGATCTTACTATGAAGCAACACTTATGAGTACTTAAAACTTTTTAGCACAGTGATGAGTACTGCCAAACTTCCCACAAAACTTCATCTATATCTGTTTGCTAGACACTAAAGAAATATAATGTAAATGGAACTAAACTCTTATAAACAGTAACAAAAACTTCATATGTTAGATAAATATAAAATATATCTCATAATATACAGGGAGGACTTTTACTTTGTTGACCACTTCCATGGCTCTGCACTTCACGGCAACTGTGGTGCTGCATGCCGTGAGGTGGATACTACTCTTGCCAATGAATCAGCATGCCTGACTACCAATAACATTTGGAATGAAGTAATTACAATTCAGAGATCACAGGTGGTGTGAAAATGCTATCCCTCTACACATAGATATCTTTCAAAACTAACTGTTTCATTAAAAAACACGGTATTAAAACATACACTTATAACATCTACAGTCTCTGAACTGAAAATCAATAATGCCAACTGTGAGCACATCTCACTATATAGTTTCAATACTGACACTATCAATAAATAAACAACTTAAAAAATGGTGAATGCTGCCAACATTTATTTGTGCTTTTATAGGGCTCATGATCAATAGGTTTCCTATCTTAATTCTTTGTTGCTTTTGTGTGAAGACTTACTGTCCTGCTATGGTTACCAATAGGCATGAAGTAGTAAGGAAAGGAAAGAAGGTGCTACCCGAGTACTTACTTGAAAGATCTACATAGTAAATCAGATAAACAGCAGTCCAGATTAAACGTAAACTTCTTGTTGCACACCAAAGCTACCTTGTTTTTGCTTCATGTAGGCACATGTAAAAAACAAAAATTGCACTTTTTATTCCACAACAGTTTGTTTTATTATGATGTTTACTTCTAACCATCAACACTTTCACAAATATACATTATCCCTGGCAACGGGAACCTTTCATCAGTGCCATAATATTAATAAGCTTTATATCGCAGACCTCAACAAGGTTTCATATTCCTTTGGCACATTATAAAAATAACTGGTCATAAATTTTTCATTTCTTAAATCACAACCATGACAAAAGAAAATATTTTTAATATATCTGAAGGGGAAGAAACAGGCAAATGTATTGCTACCTCTAATTTGGTGTACCTCAAATGATGCCAAACTAAGGTAAGATTTTATGATTCTAGCCATGCCTCGCACACCTGTTCATACAAGCATCATGAGAGACAGTAACTGCTGGAAATTATATGAACATGTCTTATTGAAATACAAGAACACATGACTGAATAATGTCCCTCTATTATATCTCAGTTTAGCTATGAGAAAGTGGACGTGACTTATAGACCTTGCATATGCACAACTCTGAACAATTCATCAAATCAACTAACAGATGGTAAAGACAAAATGTCAAAGCAGAGACTCGTAACCCAACCAATCTAGTATTATTACAGAAGTGTACACATCATAAATCATTTTTGTGTAATTCGCTTGAAACTGAAGATATGTGCATTTCAGTAACTGTTCTCTGAAAATTTTACAATGAAAAATCATACAACCTAAATTCAAATATCACTTAACATACACCTTCAAACTACATTAAAATCAAAATCACATGCACACAGAAAGCAACTTAAATTACATATGAGTTATGGCCTTTCATATTTGGATGTCTTTTTCACTACTAGTTTTACTACTTTTAATTTACATCAGTATTGGCTATAGAACAGTTCATTAGGATATTAGTACAGAACAGTTCACAAATCTGCCCGAACAGCACAATCACTGGACGGAGACAAACAACACAGCTAAAATTAAGCTATCAAAATTTGAACAATGTCAGAATATTATCTATTTCCTTTAGTAGCCATTAAAACAGAAATTAATTTGCATTCTGCAACTTCCTATTACATAAAACACATATGAGTAACCTGAAAAAAAAAAAAAAGCAAGTCTGTCCCCTGTGGAAAAAGGTAACACAATTTTTCCATTTATCTCACAGAGGGGGGGTCATTTGTGAAGGAGGCTAGTTGGAGGGAGTGGACATTTACTCATCTGATATCTGCTATCAGTGCTTGTGATACATAATTTTACAATCATGGCAGGGTTTACACATAACATTATTACAGATATGAATGTCCAAGAACAGAGCGAATATGAATTGTCTCCCTTCTGTGTAGTCCACATATCAAACCTTAATGATAAGGGCAAAATTATAAAAATAAGTCATAAATTTGGCAAACATGACTTCAGTGAACAAAATTATTTGCTACCTACCAGGTAAAAATCCTGTCATTTTACACTAGAATCACAATACTATATTATACGATTATATGTATTAGGAGAACATAAGAGATTCCAATCAACTGCCAGAGATATACCACAATCGGTTTCACTATGCATCAGTGAAATCAACATCTACTGTAGATATGCCAAGCCATGACATGTGCACATACATATGATTGAAGGAATAGCTGACAAATTTCTACTCCTGCTTCAGTATCATACCTGCACTGCAAACGAAATTAATACCATAGGCAACTATGTCACATAACAGAATATAACCATGTTGATAAGAGAACAATCCAAACCTCTGTCACACATAATTTCAACACGTACCATTCTGTCATTAAAATTAAAACTACAAATGGCAGTGAATAAAATTCAATTTCATTTCTGCATCTTGACCAGGACAAGTGGCTTGCTACAACAGCAAAAAGAAGCTTAACTAAAATACAATTTACAACTGTGACATGAGATAACTATATTTTCACCTTCTGAACCTTCCTAAAACAAAGATCACCATGT